GCCCCCGCCCCAACTCCGCCCCGGCCCCACCCAACTCCGCCCCTTCCCCAAAGTCCCCGCCCCAACTCCGCCCTCTCCCTGCTCCTCCCCCTCCCCTGCTTCCCGCGAATCAAATGTTCGCGGGAAGCCTGAAACAGGCAGGCAGCAGGTAAGCTGGGGCGGGGACGGGAGCGGTGGGTTGCGAGGAGGCGCAGCCCAGTCTGGCCGCGTGGCTCTGGCCCCAGTGTCTCCAGCCCGGCTCGGCTCGGGAACTGGGGTGCCAGCCCCGGTTCCAGCTGAGCGGCTCCGGCCCGCCCCGGCGACTCCAGCTCAGCACCAGCCGGTGGCCGAGCACCCCCAACCCCGGTCCCAGCGGCTCCGGCCCGGCTCCGCTCGGGCTCCAGTTCCGGCCGGCGGCTGAGCACCCCCGGCCCCGGTCCTGGCGGCTCCGGCCCAGCTCCGCTCGGGCCCCGGTTCCGGCCAAGCGGCGCCGGCCCCAGCAGCTCCAGCCTGGACCCAAGCCCCACGACCCCTCCCTATTTTCCCGGACATGCCCGGCTTTTGGGAATTTCCTCCCGGACAGGGATTTGTGGACCGAAAAGCCGGACATCTCCGGGAAAATCTGGACGTATGGTAACCCTATGCAGGAGTTACAGCTCTGTCACACATGTAGTGTTCCCCCTTTATATACAGTTTTGTGTTTTATAATGGAAATCCTGGCGCACAATTAACCTGAGTGGTATGAAGGCTGCTATGGTCATTAAAGATTAGAATCAAAGCACCAAAAGTTTGAAATTTGAGTACACAAGCTCTGTCCCACAACATTCAGTTTAAGGTTTCCAGACTAACGGAACTACTGAATCAGCAAAACAAGGGAATATATGAGAAAATTGTACAGACTGGGATATTTTTTTTTTTACTGGAAAATATTGGATTAGATTAAAACCTCAAGGCCTTTTAAATTAAAATCATCTGAAACAAGAATATAAAAAATGAAGCATGAATGTTATAGTTTAAATGTAATTAACATAGTCAGCAACTTTATATACAGTCGATTTAGGGATTTGTTTAGTATAAGACACATGGAAAATGTTAAACACAAACAGGGAACATTTAAACAACAATGAGGTCTTGATCTGACACACTCTTCCTTAACTAATGGTGTTGTTACAAAGAAATTACATGCTAAAACTCAGGTTGACCTAGCCATGTTGTTCAAGGGGTCTATACTTAAGCCCAGGTATAGACACTGCTAGGTTGACAGAAGAATTCTTCCATTGACCTAGCTACCACTTCTCGAGGGGGGTGAATTTACTACAGTGACAGAAAAACCCCTTCCTTCAATGTAGCAAGTGTCTACGGGCTCATCTACACTACAGGTTATGTCGGTATAGCTTATGTCGCTCAGAGTGTGAATAAGCCACACCCCTGAGTGATGTAAATTACACTGACCTACGCACCAGTGTTAACAGCACTATGTTGGCGGGAGAGTTCCTGCCAACATAGCTACCACCTTTCGTGGAGGTGGTTTTATTATGCCGATGCGCGGGCTCTCTCCTGTTGGTATAGAGCATATTCACCAGATGCGCTACAGTGGTGCAGCTGCACCACTGCATCTATGCCGCAGTAATGCTTGTAGTGTAGACATAGGCTTAGCACAGGCAGTGTCCCTGCATAGCCTCCTGTTCCGAATTCACTTAATTATTAAGAAATAATATTTTGACCACTTTAAAAAGAAAACTGTACCTATTTTTAGCACAGCTCCGCTGTCTCACCTGGTAAGAACCAATTTTCACAAAGAATAAACTATAACACATTTGATTTTCACCATGAACATAAAATATTTGAAAACAAGGGTTTTAATTATAAATAAGAGTACAGCGGATGATAACCTATACTAATTATAATTTTAATAAATTAAAAAAATAAAGATCCCACAGACTTGTATAACAGAAACAGAGCACCATTTAGAATGCTGACAGGCACTAAGGTCTTACATTATATAAGGGGGGCTAGATCCGACAGCTAATTGATTATACTGGGAGATGTCACCCACTTCTCTCCTTGCATCCTTACCAGCCAGTTTCACAATAAATTCAGAATTAATGTTGACACTCATGGTATGGCTACACTACAAGTGCTACAATGGCACAGCTGCAGCTACACTTCTATAGCGCTGCAGTGTTGACACCACAGAAATTGAAAGGGTTTTTTCATCGCTCTTGTAAATCCACCACCTCAAGAGGTTGTAGCAGAATTCTTTTGTCGACCTAGCTGGGTCTACAACGGGGGTTAGGTTGACCTAACTATGCCACATAGGGCATGAAATTTTTCACAGCCCTGAGCCATATGCCTAGGTCAACCCAAGTTTTAGGTGTTGGCCAGGCCTCAGAACTTAATGTTTGGTTCTTGTGAGGACTAGCATCCTCAACCTCCTATTGCGAATATGTATGTTGTACAGAACTCTCCCACACATTTATAATATGTAAACAAAATAAGCTTCCTTGAGACTTTCGAGGCTCCAAGGCTAGTCTTATCATAAAACACATTACAAGAGCAATTTTACTTAAACAGCATATGTGCACATGGATTTTCCTGTGGACCATAGCTTGTAATTACATCAGGAGAACCATCTCATCAATACCAAGTAAAGTAACTGATTAAAAGCAGAGCATTCTCCTTAAAACTTGCATTGCTTTTTTATTCTCCAGTGTTTAGACTAATTAAAACTTTCACCACTCAGAATTTAAATCCTAAACAGATTAGTAGTGTAAGATATTTAAAATGCAGTAATTATTTGCTGACATTATAGGTAGGTAGATTTATAATAAAATGAAAATGAAGTACAATCTCTCCTCCCAAAGGGTTTTGCTGTAATTTCCATATCCTTTTCTGTGTGTCTGACACAGCATTAACTAAATCCTGCTGATTCTTGCTGTTCACATCAAAGATAATAGCCACCATTCTTCTGACTAAGGGAGACTGGAAACCTAGCCGTGCCTCTGCTTAATTGTCTTAAGAGGCCATCGCTGGCCAACACAAGGTCCTCCTGCCTCTCAAGGATGAAAAAATGTGACCTCAGAAACTGGAGGTGTCAGGGGGCAGTTAAGCACCAGCAAGTCGTATTCTCGCTGAAAGCAAGGCAGCAACAAGGTGACTCTCAGTCCTGGGCACCCCAAAAAATGTCAGTCACCCATCCCAGGCCAAAGCCTGCGATAATTTATTTTATGCAAACTACTAACCATAATTAAATCAAGAAATATTAACAACATACTTTATCTCTCAGGTGGTTTCCTTTTTACCCTTCTCCTTCTGTCGATTTCTATCCATATTGTTCCTTCAAGGTCTATTTTCATCACAGCCTATTCTCTATTAGGGTCCACTTTCTTCATCATATTATCTACTACCCTCTTCCCCTTTGTACTTACTCTGCTTTTAAGACCTCTATCTCTTAAGCCCCTTTCCTCGCCCTTCCTTTTCTTCTTGGGTCTCTTTCTTCCCAGACTGCAACCAAAGGCACTATTCATGTGCACAAAATTAAGCATGTGCAGATTTGGGGCTTTGAGGAGAAACCCCAGATTCTTTCTTTAAATATTATTTTCCCCAATGATCAAGGCTCTCTTGATTTTAAAGTACAAACATATTTGTCTAGTAAAATATGATCATAAAGTTATAAAACATCATTTCCTGGATTATGTAAAAGACATTTGTTTCAAAACAGCAAAAAGCAGTAGTCTTCATTAAGGTCTTCATGCCTGGCTTGATTATGTTTTACAAATCCATTTTACATAAAAGCATCAGAATCCAAAGCACACAACTATACAGAAGTGGCTTGAATTTGCTCTTTGGCTCATAACATGAACATTAGGAAGTTTCAGTCAAATACGTTTTTTTTCAAGTTAATAATGAAATGTAGTTTATAATGAAAGTGCACACTGATAACTGACTTTAGCATTATAGTCCACAGCATATGGTTGTGAGCCATCTCTATATTAAGGAAGGGGCGGGGTGGGAAATGGGCGGGACCAGGGCCCCGTGGAGGGTCCTCTTTTTTTATTTGTTAAATATGGTAACCCTATACTTAGATAGACCCAGAGACAGGACAGCAGTCAGCAGGCAGACTTATCTTACAATCTGTATGTTCACATGCCATAAAATACATATGTTTCGTATTTCTCCATTACCAAAACTAAAATGTGACAAATGTTTTATGTAATTGCTCAAGTTAAATCCAAACATATTAAAATTATTAAAGAAAAGTATATTATTAAAAGTTTGAGGACCAAGTGAGATTGTAAACAATCATGAACTTTCTAATTTTGTAGAATGAAAGAGGAATTGAAAATCAGGATACAAGCCAATGCATTTTTTTCCTTTCAACTAAATTAGAGAGTGCAAAAATACTATATTTGCAAAACAATATGGATTTATGAAACTTTACCACTCAATAATTACATCTTAAAATAAACATAGTTTACATAAAAATACTTTGCCTAAGCAAACTTTTTCTGCCGCTGAATTGTATTATGTACATTGCACAATAAAGATTTTGAATCCATGTTTAAACAGATTCAAAGAACAGCTTACAAAGGGAATAGTACAATAATCTTCACTCAAGTTACAAAGCCCCTGAGGGTTCAGGGGAATGGACAGAAGCTAATCAAATAACTTATTATAAATTTGACAACTGTGAGTTTTCAGATCTTAACTCTATTCATGTAACCATGGAAAAGAGTTTACAACAAAAGCAGTTTATTTTGCCAGTTTATTTATTTATTTAGACAATAGCTGGGGTTGAGTAAAAACTGTTTTCTAATACAAGTTAGTTTGTCTGTCAGATGTGAAGTCATCATACTGTGGCAGTGGGATCACAATCTCTTGCCTATAGGAAGGATTGAGAAATAAAAACAAACACATACATGCGCCTATCACCTGGAATACCCGTATGGTTCCTCTCTGCAGTTTTCCCTCAAGGCCACATGGTAGGCATTAGGGGCAAGGTGGGGAAGGGGAGGCATCACCTGGGTCCCAGTTTCCGCAGAGTGTATGTGGGGGGTCTCCATAATGCATCAAATTCTGCAGTCCTTGTCAACCAAAACTCTGATCAACTTCAAGTCAATTGATTCCAGTTCTTGTTCACTTCAATAAGGAGCACAAGATTTGTCACAATAACCTCACTATACATTTGTTTCCAATACAAATGAATAAATATGGGAGGAAAGTTGCACATGGATTTTATTATTAGATTGTCTTGCATAGTTTTCATGTGTATCCCAGTGTGAGATTAAGCAATACAATATTTTCTTGTAGAACTAGCCAGCTCAGTATGAGTTGAGGTGTTACATTCTCACCTTATATTTTACTCCGGAAAGCTGACATTTGTGCAGACAGAAAATGTCCTCTATAGTTTTACTGCTCATTCCTATTCCAAGTCCAACCGTCCTTGGTGTTCTCATTAGCACAAAGAGGACTGTTCTGCAAACTTTGATAGAAAGAGTGCTTGCTAACAAACATAACCAGTTCCTTCTCCAAAAATTAATGTGAGATTTGCCATTGACTTCAATGGAAGCATGATTGAGTTCTTATTTTGGCTTATAGACAAAATACAGCCAAGGGGCAATTCCTGTCCTGGTAAATATCATGTGTCACCACATTTGCCCTATGTACCATTCCTTATTTCTTTAGTAACCCTATGAATTTCAAACAAAATTTCTATTTTCATAATTTGATCTAAATTGTATATCTACAGTAAAGCTGTAAAAGGATTCTTTATACTCAAATGCACACAGCATTGTGTGTTTACAAAAGCATTTCCTTTTAATATCACTTCATCACATGGTAACCATATGTACAGTAACTCCTCACTTAACGTTGTAGTTATGTTCCTGAAAAATGTGACTTTAAGTGAAACGATGTTAAGCGAATCCAATTTCCCCATAAGAATTAATGTAAATGAGGGGGTTAGGTTCCAGGGAAATATTTTTCACCAGACAAAAGACTATATTATATATATACACACAATATATATATATAAGTTTTACACAAACAATTTAATACTGGTACACAGTGATGATGATTGTGAAGCCTGGTCAGAGGGTCGGATATTTTCTAGGGAATGCCTTACTTCTAAATGAACTTGCAATTGACTGAGCCCTCAAGGGTTAACTCTCACAACACTCCAGGAGGCAGCAGGAAAGGAGGGAGGGCAGACAGAGACACACCCTGTGCGTGAGAGAAAAATTGCGCATTTCCCCTTTAAGTAGCTGCCCCAGGCTTAAGTACACTGCCTTGTTAATTAAATCAGCTTGCTGAGACCTCCTGAGACCGCAGCTACTGCCTAGATGCTCCCGCCTTCGTGTCTCTCCCCCCCCCCACTCTATGGAAGATGGGGTAAGCGGGGTGCAGGAGCAGGGGGCAGGGGGAGACACCCTGACATTAGCCCTATTCTTCCCCCTTCCCCCGTACAGCAAGCAGGAGTCTCTGGGAGCAGCTCCAAGGCAGAGGGCAGGAGCAGCACATGGCAGTGGGGAGAGGGACACAGCTGAACTGCAGGCAGCTGCAACATAGGGAACTTAGGGGAGTAGGGAGCTGACAGGGAGGGCTGCAGGTCCACCCTGGTTCCAACCACCCACCAGCTAGCTGCAACAGGCTGCTCTTCCTGCAAGCAGTAGACAAAACAGGCGGCTGCCAAACGACTTAGAAGGGAGCATTTCACAACTTTAAAGGAGCATGTTCCCTAATTGATCAGCAACTTAACATCTGGAATGACTTTAAGTGAGGCGTTACTATATATCTGCCACTTAATTATAGCATACGGGAAATAAATTAAATACATATTGAAGTTTTACTTTCAAAATCTGAGGAGAAACAGAATTAATGAAAAAAGAGGTCCTAAAAGACAGGAGTAAAGGAGAGCCATAATACATGTTGACTAAATGCACAACTTCCAAGTCACAGGCTAGGTTTTGGTTTTCTTTTTCACTTTGTTTTTCCTTTCGGGGTGTGAGAGAGAGATATGAGAGAGAGATAAATATTCTTCTCTCCAACACTTTCTGACACCCTGATAAAGATGTTGGAGATTCCCAGTAATTTATGAAAAATAATACTCTGACTCATGAATATGTACTGTGATGGTCATTCAAAAAGTATGTTACAACACTATAGCATTGGAGATACTGAAGTTATTTCCTATTATATAAAAAACACCAAAGTAATTCAGAAACCACATTAAAACAACTTAGTAAATAATGACTAAAAAAAATTAATACATTTATTGACTAAAAAAAATAAGTCTTTGGCACGTGTTACAAGTTCTAATGACATTCAGTTGTCAGTAAGGAATCTCAGTGGGCAAAGCTGGCTGTATTGTTAATACAAAAAAAAAGACAATCTTTCAGTTTACTTAAAATAACCAAATATTAAGTATGTCTGTTTTTCCATTGCTGTGATGATCTGTTATGCTGATCATCCAAGCTTTAACATCACATTAATTCTGTCTTTTTCCAGTGGGATCCTATTGCCTATGTATTGTGTAACCACCAGGGGATGATAAATGAGTTTCATCCTTTGACTTTGTTTACCCCTTCCATATGTAATCCTAGAAGAAACACTACAAGTTACTGTAGTTACCACTGAGAAGTACTCTAAGAGGAAACTGATACAAAAGAGTTGGATTTGGGGACAGACCCACCAAATATGAAACAATGTACACATTGCATGGCATCTAAGCTCTGCACTGAATACAGAATTATTAATTTCCTCACTGGCTTTTCTATGGTGGTCTCATCATAGTATCTTAGTGTTTTACAAATATTAATGAATTTATCTTCACAGCATTCCTCTCGGGTGGTATTATTACCCCAATTTGAAGCATGGAGCATAGAGGTTAAGGCCAAAATTGTCAAAAGTATCAACTCATTTTGGGTCCCCAATGTGAGACTCATAGGGTCTGATTTTTCAGAGTACTTAGTACTTTAAAGGACTTTATATATTCAGAGCACAGCTCCTGTTGACCTCAGATGCAGTTGTGACTGTTCAGCACTTCCCAGGTGCCTCAGGTTTGGCACCCAGAAAATGATGAACACACAATGGCCACCTGTGAAAATTTTGCTTTACATGATTTGTCCAGCATCACAAAGGAACTCTGACAGAAGATGGCATTTAAGTGCCTTAACCATGAGACCATCCTTTTTTTCCTGCATTTCTCCGCCTCATTTACCACACATCTTCCAACTTCTGCCACAAATAAGGCAGGGGGCGGGGGGCTACAGACTATCCATCTAATTAACTATGGTACATATATGCTCCCCATTATCATAGGAACTGCATACCTCACAATTTTTGAATGTGTTTATCCTCATAACACCCCTGTAAGGTGGGAAGTACTATTACCTTCAACGGAGGCATGGATACACTACTGCCTAAGGTCACACAGGAAGTCTGTGGAGGAGGACAGAATTGAACTCAGATCTACAGTTAGTACCCTAACCCCTAGATAACCTTTTTTCCCTGCAGCCTCATTCACTGATTTGTTTCCAGAACACAGTCTATTCTATCTGTGGATTGAATGAGGCAGGGGTCCTATGGTAAAAATAGTCTGTGATCATGCAGTTAAAGACTGTATTATAATACATATCCACAATGGAGCCAAATTGAAGTTGCATGAGCAACATTAATTCAGGCAATTGCCTAATGTTGAGTGCCTTAACCAAGGCTTCTGCTCTACACCTCCTTCCTCCAGGCTCTTATTCCCTACCCCACATCTCTTCCCCCTTTCCTCATTCTCTGCATTTGACTCGGGCTCCTTCCTCATCATGGGTGCGTGGGTGCCAGCAGAGGAAACATTGAGAAAGGAGGGGGAAGAGTCTCCCTGCAGTAAGTTCAGATGCCACAGCAGTCCCCAGCATGCAAGCGGAGCAATAGCAGGGAAAGCCCTACTTAGCCCCTGCTGCCCTAGGTTTGGTGCATGATTATTTACTTTGTGGGGATGGTGTACTCAAAGTGCGATAAGGACACAGGAGCTGTGAGAGGACAGGGCATGCTCAGTGCAGATGAAATCTAGTATATACCATAGGTACAACATAACAATGCCCTGTTTTAAAATGTGTGCTTGAATGTATGTATGTTTACCCAAAATACAAATTTATCATACTGTCATAACATAGGATGAATTTCTAAAAGAATTCAGCTCTATTTGTCATGTAATAATTTTAGCTAATCAGAAACAAGGATTTTTAAAACATTTTCCCCAATAGAATATACTCTAGCTACAGATAGGTAACATTTTTCTCTTTGTAATCACTACTCTGTTTACAGACAACAATCACCAGCAAATTGACTAAATGTCATGCATTACCACTGCTCAATTTCATTGCTCCAGTCACACACTGAATACTAAAAAGTTGATTTTGGACTAGATAATCCACAACCTAAGAGGGAGTTAAATAACAGTGGAAGAAATGCTAGAAGTCATTGATCATAGAACACCATATTTACATTGCTAAACTGATAATAAGATTGTGGGCACTATATCATCATTTTAGAATATTTGAAACTATTAAATGTTCACTGAAAATTTTAGAGCTCAGGCCAAAACTCCCAAAGCCTCCCAAAACACAATGCAACTCTCTTCTCATCACCTCTAGAGTGTCCTCCACATTTTCTGAAAAGAAATGGACAGAACTGACCCCTATGTCAACACCACCATTCCTTAATTGGATAGAACTATGTGAGGTATTGTCTCCACTGTATACACAGTGAGAAACTGGGAATTACTCTTTGGTTTCCCATTCATAATTGCTGACAACCAATATCAGAGACATGGCCTGATCCTATGCTGTTTTTGATTGTCCTCATGCTTTACCACAGTGCAGTGCCCTAAGGCATTAGTTTACACTGTGAACTACTGGCAAGATTCAGTTTTAAAAAAAGATGTTCTAAGTTACGAGAGCAACTGGAAACAAAAATAAAAAATAGCTAACCAGATTTTTTCCGTATCTGGTAAATAAACTGAATATGGGATCAAGCCTTTGAATGCCAAATATAAAGCCAAAACTACACTGATGAAATGAGATGTGTC